TCTCTATTTTTACTGGCGTTTTTTCAACATGTACTTCAAATCTGTTTCCTCATGACTCGTCTCTACCAAATGGTTGGAACCTTCAAGATGATTGTCTCGAGTGTCGGCTATGTTTATCGTGATGCCCTCCGTGGTGCTCCCGATGGTGGGAGCTGGAACGAGCGTCTGCTTCCTCTTGTTTGATATATTCGTTTGCCACCACTTTAATGTTTGCTTCCTTCCGCTCTTCTTCCTCGACTTGCCTTAGGTACTTCTCCACCCTGTATTTGAGCTCGTCCTTTTTTTTTCAACACTGTTCCCTGCATCTTTTCTGATAGAGGGTCGGGGAGAAGTCCTTGGGCGAAGGCGCCTATAACAAGGAATTCTTCATGTCCTGGCACGCTGAGTGTTGTGAGGGTGAACCTGTCATAGTACTCCCATATTGACTCCCCTTCCTTTTGCTTGCACACCATGATGGAGTTCGCTTCTCCTCTCCTTTTTCGAACTTGCATAAATTTGTTGAAAAAGAGGTATCGTAATTGCTCGAAGCTTGAGATACTTCCCGGACGGAGCGCTTTGAACCATTTTCCTGCATTCCCTGCTAAAGTGACGGAGAAATACGTGTAGATGAACCTCTTGTCCATTCGGAGCGACGTCATCGTCCATTCATAGGTATCTATGTGCTCGTCCGGGTCTGTCGTGCCATTATATTTGGGTATATTTGGGATCATTGTTGAATGGGGTATCTCGTACTACAGGACCTCCAGGTAGAATGCAGAGCTGGCGCTTCACATTGGTTCGTCCATGGAGGGAAAGCCTCTGTATTGCATGGTTTGCTGGGCGTAGTACAGATTGTTGTATCCATGGCCATATCCATAGTTATACCCTTGATTGTACCACGCCGTCTGTGGAACATATGGTTGTTACATCGTTTTTATGTATATAGGTTGTTGGGATGGTGAGTTAGAGTTCGGCTGTTCCAGCGTGCATGATTTTACCCCATGCTCTGGTGCTGTTTAGGCATTTTGGCCTTGCGACCACGAAGCTTGAGGGTGGACTCCTTGGAAGTGATGGTAGTAAGGGTTAAACATCGGCTGTTGTGTGAAAAGTGGGATGTGTGACATGCTTTCCATAGGGGAAAGTCCGTGAGTCGTTGTTTGTTGCTGGGAAGAAGGTATGATTGTGCTTGGAGACCAGGTATTTGTCTTTGTTCTTCGTGGTTTTGGTTGCGTTCTACTATCATCTAGTTGTGGCAGGCGAGTGAGTGTCGTTTATGGTGCTATGTTGGTTGTTGTAACCAGGTGTTCTGTTACGACGGGTGGTGGACGCCATAAACTGGCTATTGCTTCTGCCACTGAGCTGGCTACCTGCGATGCTGGTGTTTGTATGGGTGTTTACCTCCCCCCACCCCCGGTGCAGATGAACCACTGCCGTCGAGGGACAACATTGGTCTGATCGGGATGGCTTATCCACACTCCGTCGGTGCAAGTCTTTTATCTGCCATTCCCAATATCTAAGGTCGTTTTAGGTTGTGTAGCTCTGAGTACACGTCTGGATGGCGCCAAATATTTAACGTCGTCTCTGGTGACCTTAGCGGAGCTAATCCTGAGAGTCACAACATAGAGAAAAAGGCCGCCACTCAACGTCTGAGAGGGGATCCTGGAACGAAGCTCTGACGGTTTAGTTAACAACTAGTTGAGAGGATATGGGTTTAGCTAAAAAGTGTGACAGAGGCGATCCCTTCTCTTGGAGGAGAAGGGCTCTATTTATACCTGCCGTGGCGGGGACAAGATCCCGACAATACCTTTTTGTCCCTTTTGAGACGACAGGACGCGGAGGCGTCCTATTAGCGGATTGTGCTCCACTAGTGGTTACCTGTTATTGGTGCAGAATTCTTAGAAGCTAGCGCCCTGAGCATTACACATGTCGCTATGGGAGGCGAATGGTATTGTTTTGTCTTGGAGTTAGCTTTGGCGCTTGTACGCCAAGGAATAAACGCGAGGCGCCGAGGGCGAAGACGCGTCCTCGGTGCTAGGTATGTGTCGACCTTTGACTAAGTCGTCTAAGAGATGATGACTCCGTTATATTTGGCGTATTCCTAGTGGGATACGTTAACAAAAACCTAGTCTATGCTCCCTGAAAAAGACCAAATTACCCTCAAACTAACGGAAAGAACGAACGGTGTTTGCAAAAAAGATCATCCATGCATGTTTTTGAAACCACATGGACTATGTTCGTCAAAAAAATTAGCAAGGACTGAGTTTGTGACTTTTGGTAAACCAAAGGGACCATTTATGTAAATTTGACTTATTATTATTATTATTATTATTATTATTATTATTATTATTATTATTTCCGAACGACGACCATCCGACACCATTATCAACGTCGTACCACTACTATTTAATTAAAACAATGTCTATATTGTTGGATAAATTGTCTAAAGTCATAACTAAATTATTATGACTTTATGGAATAAAAACAAAGTCCTTTTTGGGTTGTCTTGAATAACTAGATATAGCTAGAATCAACTTTAGAAGATTGAGGAAATATTTATTTTATTTTATTATATGTTAATAAATTAATTAAAAATAGTTTAAAATTAATCAGAATTAATTTTGGATTAATTAGGATTGATTTAATGTGCAATGGTTGAATTGTAATTGTTTATAAATGAACAAGGAAGACAATTCTAGAACCTCCCCAAGCTTAGACGGTTTCTAGGGGTTCCATAATCATTTTGGAAGCCTTTTGGTAACTGATTTGGATGACTGACTTGAATAGATTAAATCATAGTATTTATTTATTTAGATTAGGGTCTATCCTAGAGATTCTCCAACTATAAATAGGGAGCCTTAGCAAGGCTTTTTCGAATCCTAACATTCACAAAGCAGGAATTCGATTTTGCTTCTTATCCTTTTTTTTCATTCCTAGTGTTCTAGTGTTTTGGGTGTGAGCTATTAGAGACATCCATATTATTGGTGCTTGTTTTCCAAGGTGAAATCGAAGATCCAAGAGTTGTTATATTCAATCATATCAAAAGGTATGTGTTCTAATCTGATTTATTATTCAAAATAAGTAGATTTGATTGATTGTTTCATAGTATGTTGCTTTAATGAAAAATTTTCATAGATTTTTAGGTTGCATGTACCCATAAATAGTTTTATATGTTTTTGTTGCGTGGATTTACATGTTTTGTAACCTAGAAAATCCGTAATATACAACATATATTTTATAGTCTTTCATTGGGTATAAATTGGTATTTATAAATATGGATCTGTACTTTTCATGATTGTTTATAAGAAATCAATAATACATGCCAAAAACAATTTCATCAACACCAAGACATCCCCACCAACACCCTTTCTGCCACTACCAACACCAATATCACAATCCACCACAATAAATACACCAATCCACCACATTGGTGATTAGATCCACAAGACTTCTAAATCCTAAGAAAAACAAAGAAGAACAAATATAAAATATAAAAATAAAAAATTTAGAACATTTATTCCAAATTTTGAGTATCGTGTAGTTGATGAAACCTCGATCAAGCATCCCGCACCTAACGCAGAAACCAATAACTAAAACTCACACGAAAATGAAACCCTTAACTGATTTCTCGTATTTGTTCTAAAATCAAAAAACAAAACCCTAAATCAAATCTAAAACTAACCCTTAAACCAAATATTATAATATAGTTGTGCTCAATCTTCAGATTTCATTCTTTAAGTTCTTGATCCTCTTCTTCATCCATGTTCATTACATGTTGAATAAATTTGTAAGTTTCAAATATAATGGAGATTCAACGGCCTCGAGTTTTAATGGTGATAATTTGGAAACTTTGAAAAAAAAACAATTAAAAGGAGATCTACGGTAGAAAGACCTAGATCCAAAGATAGAATAAAAAAGGTAGAGACAAGCACTCGTCAGATAGGTTGCGGTATCAATAGTGAATTAAAGATTTCTTGTGAGAGATATAGAGAGAAATGAGGGAGAGGTTGTGGCACTAGTAATGGAGGTGGGATGTGGCAGTAATGGAGGCGTATGAGGTGGTTCGTGGTGGTGAGAGAGGCATTAGGGATTGTTAGTGATAATGGAACCATTTGGGGAGAACTGAGGTCTGAGAATGGAGAGGTTGTGGCACTAGTAATGGAGGTGGGAGGTGGCAGTAATGGAGGCGTATGAGGTGGTTCGTGGTGGTGAGAGAGGCATTAGGGATTGTTAGTGATAATGGAACCATTTGGGGAGAACTGAGGTCTGAGAAAAACAATGGGTTAGGGATTTTGTTTTAGTTTTATCACCATTATAAATATTATTAATTTTGGTCCAAGTGAAAAAGTGACCATAATTTTCAAGGACATGTAGGTTTAAGGTAAGCTGAGAAAACAAATTGGGAGTATGAGATCAAAGGGGGAAACGGAAAAAATAAGAGTTCAATGGCTTAATTATCACGATTTTGAACTTAAATGGCTAAATGGTGACTTTCTCTAACTTGCATGGTTATTTAAATCAAAAAGCCCTTACTTAAAAAAAAATTTAAAAAAAAATTAAAAAAAAAACAAAAAAAAAAACGTGAATATCTTATTTAAGTAGAAATTGAAAAAAAATAAAAATAAATAAATAACGTTCGTTTGTAGCAAAGAAATAGGCAATGGCACATAGACTCCACCTAAGAAAAGAAATAGGCAAATGAGTTATAAAGGGGGAAATAAATAAATAAATAATAAGTGTTCAATTGCTTAATTAGTACGATTAAACTTAGATGACTAATAATGAGATTTTTGTAACTTGGACATCGTCGTGTCAAATGAAACAAATTTTCATCCAGAAGATGAACTTTATATATATAAATACTAGTATTATATAGTTATGATGGAATTACAAACAAAAGCCACAAGGCCATGAGACACGAGTTATAAACAAGACTAAAACTCGCTTGACTTGTGGTTTACGTTACATGAGTCTAACATTACAAGAAAAGTTACAATCTCTTTTTCAAGCTGTCTTATCCCACCCCATCTGCCCATCCCTACCGCCCCACCCCATCGCTTCTCACCCTTCTCTTTCATCACACCAACTCAGCTTACGTAAAGATTCTACCACCACCTACATCACCACCACCATTGACACATATACCATAAACGTTGGCTTGTCCCTCTCTTTTATGAATCTATACATCTCTTGTTCTTTCCCCCATTCTGTTTTTGTAGCTCCGGTGTTTCAGATAAAATCCTCTCCCCTACTATTAATTGCAAAGTATCCGGTAAGAGGAGGAGGCACCGTCATCTATGGAGACTAGACAGCCATATTCCAAGTAAGTTGTTCTATTTATCTTACCTTTACGAGAAAACAAATGGACAATACTTTCGTTTCAGGGGTGTTTTTGTTTTTTTATCTGGTAAAAGGTTCGATTCCTGTCACCTCTATGTGAAACACTATTGGGGGTGGGTATCTAATAACATTCTCTTCTCTAGTTTCTGACTCCAGTGACAATGTCAGCCCAACATGTGCTGAAAGAAGAAAAAAAAAATCTACTTCCTTGTGCATATTTCATGTTTCAAAAAGATTCAACTAATAATTCCACGAATATTTCTTTACATATTGTCCTTGATGAAAACTTACTTAACATAATTTGGTTATAGGAAAGCAAAAGACATATATATATATATATATATATATATATATATATATATATATATATATATATATATATATATATAGGGTTAGGTTATTTTGTTTCTAGTAACTATTGTGTGCCAGAATGCTCAGATCTGGACCATTGGATGAAATATAATCAAATGTCATGATATGATAGTTTATGATAGTAGAATAGGATAACATGTACCATATAATCACACAAATTTGAGCATAAGGGCATTTTAGTCAATTAACCTATATTAAAAAGGGAAATTTTCGGATTTTTAGGGATAATTAATTCCTTTATTTTTAAAAATCTGAATATTTTAAATTAATTTAAAATTAAAAATCCGATTTTATTCTGTCAGAATGATAGAATTTTAACTATAAACTAGTAAATATATTTTTTGATTTTATTCTGTCAGAATGACAGAATGTCAACCATAAACTAGTAAATACATTTTAAAAGACTACAAAATCGATTCTTAAACTAATAATATACCAAATAATTACATTGTATGATTGTGATTCATTGAATAATAACAAACATTCTGAAAGAATAACAAGTATAATTCTTAAAAAATAACAACATTCTTAAACAATGAGTGTGATCATTCTTTAATTCATTCTTCAACCCTTTCCCATCAGGTCTTCAAGCCATTCTTGAAGCCATTTCTACCAGAAATTCATTGCCAAGTAATTTGTAGTGATACACTTGTAACAAATACACATTAAACATACAAATAATTAACTACAATTCTATCAGAATACAACAATAATATTCTTACAAAATAAACTATTCTGCAAGAATATTCTTAAAGAATTTGTATTATCAAAAATATACCCAACAAACAAAATAAGGAACTAGCATCAACCTATTCTGACAGAATAAGGAACTAGCATTCTTCGGGTTCCCTGTGTTTCTTCTCGATATGTTCAATGTATTTTAACTGTAAATTCTGACAGAATAAGGAACTAGCATCAACCTATTGTTATGAAAAAGGCATCCAACCCAATCTAAATTAAGTTATATAGTTCTGAAAAGAATAAGGAACAAAGTGAAGTAAAAACATTAAAGATTTTTAACTATTTTTTCATTGAGACATTTTATCGAACACATAGAGGGCATGACAGAATGTTATTGTTTGTAAGCAAAAATTCCAAATATGTTAATGGATCATGACTTATACGACTTACATTGATGGATGAAAATAAGGAACGGGTTCTCTGACAAATGTAGGATGAGGAATACTAGGCAGATTACAACTTATACTGATGTACATTGGTTTGCTTTCTTTCAACGCAGTTGAAATTGCAGTGTCAATTTGTTCATGTGCATCTTCCAAGTTATTCACGTGCATCTTCCAAGTTATTCACTGCTGCCTGTTGTTTCATTCATCATAAATCCATCAATATTCATATAACAAGATCAGATAAAAATCATTGTTACTTAATTTCAAAATCGATGAAATACAAAAGCCTTGGAAATTAAAATCAACATACCTGAGCACAAGTGACTGTTTGAAAACACTGCTTTTTCTGTGTAAAATCTGGCAACCCAATTGTATGATGAAGAATCTGATTTGTCCCATAATCATTCGAATTGGGTCCACCGACTATACAAATCACGAGCAGATTCTCATTATAAGCACCGGTGACATCGATTGATTATGGAGCCGACGGTGGAGAGACAGGAGGAAGAAGCGGTAGCATGCGTTTGTCGATGATGATGAACGTGTTCGACCACATACATACACACACAAATGAAGTGAGGGAATAAGAACGACTGTAAATAAAAAGGGGGATAAATTAGGTTAAAAGTCAATTTGACTAGCATGATTATAGGAAATATTTATGGAATTTATATATCAAATTACTAAATCACCCTTATTTATTTATTTATTTATTTATTTTATTATTTCCTAAATTCCTATTGGTGCATTTATGCACACAATAGTTGCTAAAAACATTTGAACCTAACTCTCTCTCTCTCTCTCTCTCTCTCTATATATATATATATATATATATATATATATATATATATATTATATATATATATATATATATATATATATATATATATATATATATATATATCACTCTTTAAATGATTGTTGAAATGTATTTTACTTGACCTTAATATATAAGAGTCAAAACACATTTTTGTTGTATAGTGATATGGATCAAAATATGACATTCATTTTATGCATTGATATATTAATCCATTTGTTATATATAAAAAAAAACATCTGATATATTATGATTTTTCTAAGAAATGAAAATTAAAACATCGAGAGAATGTAGGGTCGCATGGTGCTATAAAAGCAACAACATATTTAATGTATTAGTCAGGAAAAATGTTGATTTAGCTAGTGAAGTGAAGTTCACGATTAAATCTAGAAAAGGTTCCTGTTTTCACTGGAAAATTTGGCTCGATCATTGAATGTAGAAACTTTTGTAATTTATAGCACCTCGGTACAGGCCGGTTCTTAGGAATTAAATATCCTTAAATGTCCAAAATTTGCCAGAAAAAAATGTTGTTATCGTTTTTATTTTTAAATAAATATATATAATAAAAAAATTAGGTCCTTACATGTACTAACTTTGTCCGATATGCTTACTAGCGATTCAATGAATCTATTGCTGTTTAAAAGAACAATACAATAAGAATGTTAAATCATAAACTTTAATGTATTACTGTTAATATATTATAGAGGTGCAAGTTAACAACTAATTAACCAAACTAATTAAAGGTTTGATTATGTTTATAAAGAAAAGAAATTAAGATTAAAAATGTGTTGTTTTGCATTTTATTTGTTTTGATATTTTATGGATAAAGGTTGGTTGGTGAATGAAAAGGAATGGGTTGGAAGTTGAAGCATGTTCCGACATAGGTTTGGTGAAGTCTTTTCATCATTGGTGAGGTCGTTTTGACCAGTTAAAAAAGTACTATAATCATGAATAAAATATTATCATACCATTATATTATTAAATTTTGAACATTTACTTGAATATAACTTTTAATCATATATACCATGTTTTTCTAAGTATTTTATGTTCGTTTAATAACTGGAATATATAAAACGAAAAACCCTAGAAATTCCCATCGAAGAGAGAGTACTGATATATAATATAGACCACCGTTTTGTTCATAGATCGGTCATTTGTTGATTTACATGTTTATTGTTTCCATTGCTGGAAAACGATGATCACAGTGAGGATATATACAAAAGAAGGTTTCAAAGAAGTAAATCGGAGGATGATCAGAAGCCCCTTCAGGTCATATCGCATGATAAAACCGGAAACTGCAAGAACAAACCATCACAACCGCTGCTACTCGCCTTCGTGATGCTTTCAACTCTCATCTTCATCACTTACTCTCTCACTTATCATAACCATCACTACAAAAACATCCCTCGTGCTATTTCAAAGTAACGTAATCTACTCTGACTTTTATGATCCGTGTTTTGACTCCATATTCGATATATCATTATTTATAACTTAACTAGTTGGTGGGTTGCAAACAGCTGGAAGTGGGGTGGAGGGACTGATCAAAGATACGTGTCGCATTTAGAAATCAAATGGGATGAGATATCGAGTGTTCTTGACAAATTATCTGCTAAAAACCAAAAGATTAATGGGAATATTGGCTTCTTGAACTTTAACGAGACTGAAATCAGTGACTGGAAGACACATATTACACAAACTAACGAGAATCAAATGGTTATTCTTCACCTTGATCCTGTCGACAAAAATGTGACCTGGGATTCGTTGTATCCTGAATGGATAGACGAAGAACAAGAAGAGGAAGTTCCAAGCTGTCCTAATCTGCCAAAAGTCGAATTAGTGCAACGGAAAAGGCTTGATCTGATTGTGGTGAAGCTTCCTTGTGAAACCGAGGGAAATTGTTCTAGGGATGTTGGCAGGCTCCATTTGCAGCTTGCAGCCGCTGGGCTTGCTGCATCATCTAGAGTGAACCATCTGCTTTTTGTTACTGATTTCTTCCCGATCCCGAATCTGTTTCCTTGTAAAGAGCTGGTGGTACGTAGAGGAAATGCTTGGTTATATGAACCAAATTTGAAGGTGTTGGGAGAAAAGATTCAGCTTTCAGTCGGATCTTGTGAACTTGCATTGCCTTTTAAACCTCGAGGTCAGTTCCATTCTGAAAACAAATAAGTTTGACTTCTAAAATCAAAATATACCATTAAAAAATAAGGAAAATACAAAAAAATAAAAATAAAAATAACAACTTACTTTATTTATTTATCTATAATAGCTTCTTTAACTTATTTATTTTTATGAAAATCTTTAATAAAATCTCAATATTTTGGATCAGTTTATGATTTAACCTAAACTTAAATTTTGTTTATAAAAAGTATATAACATCGGTTAAAAATTCGGAATAACTCATTTTGGTCGGTTTTGCAGATTTAAACAATATCCTGTCTTTTTTCATATATTCGTTAAAGTATTGAGACTTTTTTAGAAAATTGCGTTATTTTTAACCAATAACTAAAATATTTGGACTTTTTTAAAAATACCTTTGAACTAATGCATATTGTTATTAACAAATCACTTATAAACAAAACACATAATTTTCTATTATAAACGAAAGAAATACAATTTGCTAATTTTTAGGAAGGGAAATGTGGACTAAGTACCACCATATTGTTGGCTGACAATTTCATATTTTCTATTCCTCTTACATATCGTTGTGGGTGTCATGATAAGATGCATTTTGTAAGTGTTCCTCTGATTTTTGTGTTCCTCTTATGTTCTTTAACCTAACTACCATCTAACTAAGAGGAACACCCACCGAATGTATCTCACCGTGACACATACAACGATGCATAAGAGAAAACATAAATAGATTGAAGTTGTCAGCAAACAATATGGGATGGAGGGGTACTTAGTCGGCCTTTTTATTCCTAAAAATTAGCAACAATTGTATTTATTTTTTGTTTATAAAAGACGTGTTATGTTTATAAATGATTTGTTAATAATAATGTACAATAGCTCAAGGGTAATCTTTAGAAAAGTCCTAATATTTTGGTTATTGGTTAAAAATAACGTGATCTTCAGAAAAGTCCCAATATTTTGACGAATTTACGAAAAAAGACAGAATACTAGCTAAATCTATGGAACCACCCAAAAGGGTTTTTTTTTCGGAGTTTTAGCCGATATTTTGTCTTTTTTGTAAACAAAATTTAATTTGGGTTTAAAGCATAAACTGACCCAAAATATTAGGACTTTATTGGAGATTTTTAATTTATTTTTATTATAATATATACTTGTAAATTTGATCTATTATAATATATATATATATATATATATATATATATATATATATATATATATTATTGTTTGATCTATTAACACAGACATATTTTAAAAATCTACTTGATGGTATAAATAAAAGTTAACAATATTAATGCACATTGTTATAACTAGGTAGATTTTTCAAAGTACGGTGTTGTAATAGGAAATATGAAAGTAGGATGCTATAATAAACAAATAACTGAAAATATATTTATATTTATTAAATTTAATAGTAAACTATAACCCCACTTTGATGTTTATCTGATTTCATGTTTGTGAAAAAGATGGAGATTATATTGGGAATGTTCGGAGGGAGGCATATGTGACAATCCTACATTCAGCACATGTTTATGTTTGTGGGGCAATTGCTGCAGCACAAAGCATTCGAATGTCAGGTTCAAATAGAGATCTTGTGATACTTGTGGACGAGACCATAAGTGATTACCATCGTAGTGGACTAGAGTTAGCCGGATGGAAGATTCGCACGATAAAACGGATACGAAACCCTAAAGCTGAGAAAAATGCATACAATGAATGGAACTATAGCAAGTTTCGTCTATGGCAATTGACTGATTACGAAAAGATCATCTTTATCGACGCTGATTTGCTCATCCTAAGGAACATCGATTTCCTATTTGGGATGCCTGAGATCTCTGCTACTGGTAACAATGGAACCCTTTTCAACTCTGGTGTAATGGTAATCGAGCCATCCAATTGTACTTTTAAACTTTTGATGGATCATATCAATGAGATCACATCATATAATGGTGGTGATCAGGGGTACTTGAATGAGATCTTCACATGGTGGCATCGCATCCCAAAAACCCTAAATTTTTTGAAGAACTTTTGGATTGGCGATGACGAAGAAACAAAAGAGAAAAAGACGCGCCTTTTTGGAGCTGACCCACCAGAACTTTACGTACTTCATTACCTCGGGCTAAAACCATGGTTGTGTTTTAGAGATTACGATTGTAATTGGAATTCAGATATATTTCAAGAGTTCGCGAGTGATGTTGCTCATGAACGGTGGTGGAAAGTGCATGACGCAATGCCCACTGAGTTGCATCAGTTTTGCTTGTTGGAATCCAAGCAAAAAGCACAACTAGAGTGGGACCGAAGAGAAGCACAAAAAGCTATATTTAAAGATGGACATTGGAAAGTAAAGGTACGAGATCCACGACTAAAAAAGTGCATCGATAACTTGTGTTCGTGGAAATCAATGTTGAAGCATTGGGGAGAAACAAATTGGACAGATGATCGAGGTTTTAATCCAACACCACCTATGATTACCAAACTTAAAATTGACAGATGAGTACATGTAGCCCACATAATTGATGGATTCCTTTTTGGTATGTAGTGATTGATTTTGTAATAAATTGTAAATTTAATGTTGCATAGTATTGGTGTGTTCTAGAGACAAGGATTCTTTATTGAAATGCTTTGTAACATGTATAAGTTTAAATTCAAAAATATCCAGTTTCTTGTTAATGGCAAAGATATGGTAGCATCCAGACCCGACCCTTACATTTTGTTGGCTTTATGTTTTTTTAACAGCGGCATCAACTTGTATATTAACAAGAAGTTCTAGAGAAATGCTAGAAAAAAAAGAGTTTATACAAACAGGACAAAAAAATAAAGGGGACAAAGAACCCAAGAATTCCAAACTACTCCGAAGTTGGAATCTCGGTATTTAAACCACCTAAAAGAATACAAAATAATATAGTCAAAAATCAAACTCTTCTTCATTTTATCCCTTCAAATAACGTGGAATTCTTGTATCTCCATATCATCCAAGCTGTGGTAATTATAATCACTTCCAATCTAACTCGTTTCACGGTAGTGACGCTTTGATCATCAACCCATGAGAGCCATTCCTTAATGGAGAAGTTAGCCGGGAAATCAACATTAGACCATCTTTACACCAATCTCCAAACAGCGACAACCACCTCATATCAAAAAAAGGCATGATCGATTGTCTCTCCACCTTGGTCACAAACCGGGAAAGTGATAAAAGATAAATCCATTCCCCTTCTGGACAAGTTGAAGCGAGTAGGGAGCTTGTTGAGAAGAAGACGCCATGCAAACATGCTCACTTTGCTTGGGAGAGTTTTGCACCACCTTGTCACCTCCATGTATTCTTGTAAGGTGACCTTATCAATATGTATTCTAGTGCTTCTAACTAAAAAATCGCCATGCATGTCTAAGTTCCACTAAAACTTGTCAGAACCATCCGTGAGATGGACATCCACGAGGGCTGCGACTAACCCTTGGAGTTGCTCCTCTTCCCAACCACCTCTAACTCCACGCATCCAACTCCAAGTCCAAAGCCCGTTATACCATCTATCTGTCACCAAGCAACCTGGATTTGTCTCCAGCCGGAACAGCCTAGGAAAGCGGGTTTTAAGAGGCAGTTGGCCCACCCAAGTGTCCGACCATTAATAAATCGAGTCCCTTCGGCCCAATCTTCTTTCTATAGTGTTTAAGGGGACAATATTGGAAGAGTAAAGCTGAATAATTGCATCGCATGAGTTAATCTGGACCAAATTCCCTCATGATTGCTTTTTCTTCCCGCCCTATCCAACCCTCCGTGAACACCATGGACCGATTTAATGAGTCTCACCCATCCACATTTGATGTTTGACAAGAATATCCTATTGGATTAGGTGTCTAAGCCCATAACTATAATTAGTATAAACCTGAATTGATACTAGTGTAGTCCTTTTGGGTTGCCCTCAAACCTAGCAGTTGGACATGATGATTTTTGGAGAGAGAGGTTGATTTATTACTTGATTAATAAATTGAAATAAATAATTTATTAATATATTATGAGAATAATATATTAATTATAAATAATAATATTTAATTAATATTTAATCATAAATTAATTGGAATTAATTTTGGAATTTAAAGAATTAAATAAAAGTGTAGGGTCTAAAGTGCAATTGTTCAATAGTTGAACAAAAGGCTCCAGAACCTTCCATGGGAAGGATTGGACGGTTTCAAAAGAGATATTCTATGATTTCTAGAATATCTCATGTAGATAATAAGGAAGTGGATAATCACCAAATTTGAATTAATATTATTTTAATTCAAATTAGGGTTATCTAGGGTTCCTTGTAACACTATATAAAGGACCCTAAGGATCCCGTTTTCATCCCACTCTTCTCTGGCTAAAGGCTTGGATAAAATTCTTCTCTCCTATCCTCTCTCCATAATCATCCTATTGCTTGTGTTGGGTGTGAACCACTAGAGGCACGACACTTGTGGTGTTTGCTTCCAAAGCTTCAACAACATAAGTATCATTGTTATTTAATATAATAACAATCAAGGTATGTTTTTCCTTAACCCTAATTGGTATTTTCGAAAAAAGTCTAGCATTCTTAGGGTTTCCTTTTGATTTTCATAGTTATAGATTCAATAGTGAAAATATAGATCTTTATTAGGGTTGCATGCACACTTAAGAGTCTTAGGTTGTTTTGTTATGCCTTAAACTCATCAGTGGTATCAGAGCCTTAGCTTATTTTCTATTGAACTTCTATAATGGTTGAATTGATCAAATTAGGGTTTATGGAAATTAAACCCTAAAAGGCCTAAATTTCTATTTTATGGTTAGGGTTTTGAAACCCTAATCTTGCCCCCTAAGTTTCAAAATTAGGGTTAGGGTTTTGAAACCCTAACCCTCCTCCCCAAGGATTTCGACTTTTAGGTAAGGGATTCAAACCCTTACCTTCCTCCCCAAGCAAGCCATTTTCGAAAATTGTATAAGTGGTTAGGGTTTCTGAATTTTGATAATTGTTAGTTTATCTGATTAAATAGGATAATTATAAAATTAGATAATTACTACACCTTTTTTCGAAAATTAGGGATTAGGATTAAATTAAATTAACTGATTATTTTAATTAGATAATCCTTACATGATTAATTAAATGTTTAATTAATAGATAACTAATTGATTTATTTTAAATTTAAATTAATTTTCAATTTTCGAAATTAAATATAAACCTAGTATTTTTGAAAATTTTTAAAATACACCTTATACTATATGTAAAGTTAAAAGTTAATTATTACTATATGTATAAGACTAAGTCAGTCGAACCGCTAGTTCGCCTCATTCACGAAGCCATACTATAAGAAGAGTTTAAGGAAGCGGGCTATAATATGACCGTCATTGGGTATCCACTTTTACCCACCGCTCTCTTATATGGTGGAGGGTCGTTAGCCGAACGGGGTTGATAGGAAAAATTAATTCTCATTAATAAGTATAATGCTATTAAAAGTAACTAAAGTGTTTTATCAAAATCTCAATCTTAGTTACTTTAGGAAAAATGTGAATTTGTATGCTAACCATGAAATTCCACATTATACTTTATAGTAGTTAGTGGAGCGCGTGTGGTTAATCGGCACACTAATAGTAACTATAAAGAGTAATAATGAGCATCTCGAAGATTATCATTGATTAATGGAGTGTGTTGTCACACCCCCAAACCAGAATGGCGGAAACATTTGGGGGCGGATGACTTCATGTAGTATCATAACTGTTGAATATTTGTAAAGAAAGTAAACACAACCATCATAAATATAATTTAAAAGTTACATTGTTGAATACAATACATGTCTCAAAATAAATTGCAATATGATGATTTAATAAGTTTTAAGACTGACGTCTTAGCGTCCCTTCTCCAAAAGCTGATGATTTACCTGTATTACTGAATCCCTGAGAAATACAAGTAGTTTTGAAAAAGTGTCAACAATTAATTTGGTGAGTTCATAAGCGTTTTTGTATTAGAATAGTATCCTTTTTAGTGTAAAATAACTGATTTGTTCCTAGAAAATCCAATATTTTCCATATATGTGTGGTAGTTTGAAAAAGTTCCAAAAGACTGAATGTATAAGTGTTTTCCATACTTGAAATAGTATAAGTAGATTGATATAAGTATATATAATCACTAAGGCGTTTAACAGCCCCATAAACCGAGATGTATTAATACCCCATGTGAGTTTTTATAACCGTGCTATTGACCCAGACTGCCTGTAACAACATTCGTCAGGCATTGGAATGATATGACGTTTGTCACCCCAGACCTGCCGGTCTAACTGTAGCTAACAGTTTAGGTGCGGGATTGTCAGTCCCATATAGATCTATACACAAATATCACGCTCTCCCTACAAGAGATTATGGCTTATAAAACAGGACTTAATCTGCGAACTAAACGGTTCGATGAATTCAGATATCTCACAAAATTTGGTATCAACATGTTTACATATGAAAAGTCCATTTTCCTTCTGAATATAAGTATTTCCTCTTTTGTTTATAGTATGTAAAAATATCACGAATATCTCGTAACAATACCTATTATAGTTTAAAAAGGGTGTTACGTTAGGATGAAAAACTTTGGTGTATTACCAACCTTGCATGAAAAGTAGTCTTTAACTTTAGTAGTTACGTTATTTTATGTATTTGACATTTATACATAAGATGTAGGTAAAACATTTGAACTTATAAGTATTTCAACGTAAGTTTTTCTTTCACTTGTATTCCCCCCCCCCTAAAACATAGAAAAGGCATGAAAATGTAGGGGTATGAACTCACCTGGTAGAAGTGACGATTTGAAGAAAACGATACTTTGCTCGGGCAGCACTTCGACCGGAAAAACATCGATCTCTCGGAAATCTCGGGAACTTCGGGACTTCGGGCTTCCGTCAGGGCTTCCACACGTAACCGGGGCGTCGAGGTAGTCTCGGGATGCTTAACACAGAGTAAAAGTGGAAAGGGAAGTGGAGTTGAGCAGCCTAAACCCGAGACCTCCGATTTCTATTTATAGGGCCATTTTTCTGGATTCGCGTCGTGAATTTCACATATTCACGTCGTGAGTTCAGTAGTCATCACGTGCGTCATCGCAACTTGCGTCTGTCAGGCTCCAGAAGTCTATAATACTGAGTTCACGTCGTGAACACTGTATTCACGTCGTGAACTCTGACACAATGTCGGGGTTCGCGTCCCGAAATTCAAAAATTCATAGCTTTCGCATACGAGCTCCGTTTTCGATGTTCTTTATATCCACGCGTAGGTGAGATTATGCTCTACAACTCTTGTTTAGACTTCGTCGACTAATTTTGACTCAATTTTTTATTATATTATTTTTAGTAGGCCGGGACAGGAAAACTCCGTTATAAACTCATAACTTCTTCATCTGACGTCCGTTTTCGTCTGGATTTTTACCGTTGAACTACTATCGACGAGATCCTCGATCTCGTTTAGATTGTTTTGGCTAGAAATCCCACGATCTCATATTCGAACTTCAGGCTGCATACTGCTAAGCTAAAACTTAGAAAAATCATAACTTCCTCATACGAAGTCATTTTGGACGTTCTTTTTTTATGTATTTTACGGTTTAATGAGATCTACGACTTTCATTTAGATA